TTTTTAAGTGGGAATACTTGCACAATTGGTGGCTGACTAAATACTTTTTTGCCCCACTGTAAGTGAAAGGTGCTATAGATTGGGGAGGGGATCAACCACCTGTGGTGACAGATGAAACAAAAATTAATTCTTTTGGGCATGGTCCACTCCTTTTGCCACCTTGCTATTTATCATGCAACCTCGGATGCTTACTTGAAAATGAGTGCCACTGATTTAGGTTGGGCTCAGATTGATCAGGCCTGTGGTTCCTGTAACCAATTTACCATATGATCTCTCCTGTAGACCCTTTTAACTTTGTGGTCTTATAGTTTTCTACCCTAGTTGGTCTTCTCATGAGTTAATCCTAGACATGGGCTGGTTTTAAGTTCTCCTGGCATACACTGTAGATCCGTTAACTTCCCCATTGTGTCCCTTAACTTCACTTAAAAGAAGTTTAACTGATAGTTAATAGTTGATAGTGATCAGGTGGACAATATCAAGGGGGGGACAGATTATACAATCTTGCTTTCCTCTTATTTGTCCCAGTCATTAACATTTTTATTGCATTTTGACTTAAGTCCACACTCAGGAACCCAAACTTCATTTAATTCAATGCTCTATCAGAGAATTTGGCTACATGTAGGTCAGTCTTCCCCAATGTGAGCACCCTCCATATGTATGGAATCCAGCTCTCAGAATTCCTCAGAAGGCATGTCCATTGCTGAGAATTCTGGGGGATTGAGCATCTGGAGGATGTCTGGAAGATTAATATCGGCACATGGCTGGACCAGGAAGTTCTTGTTAAACAAGAGGAAGACATTGACACTGGAAGGGAGAGATTACAGACCAACATTCCAAAACTACATGTGGGGAGGGGTGAGTTCCCAAGTCAATAATTACTTTGCCTTTTACTATTGATCTTGATAGGTTTCAGCATGTTGGTTATTTTTTGGAAAGGAAGGGTGGGACTTCTTTTGGAGGTGCCTTGTGGTGTCTCCTGTTGCTACCCAAATCACTGTATTCAGCTTCACTGCTGGAGAAGGCACTGCTTGGTTGTAGAGCATTTGCTTTCCACATAGAAGAGCCTGGATCTGCTCCCTGTCACCAGTCAAAAAGGACTGAGGATCAGATAATGGGAGAGATCTGTCTGCCTGAAACCTACCACCATAATCAATAGTATTGGGTAAAATAAACAATTCTCTGCATCAAAGCATTTCTGCCCTCTGACCTTATATTGGGGTATATTTTAGATTAACAATGGGCAAAAGGTAGAATAGACTCTATTGGTCCATCTGTGTAATTACCAGCAAGAATTTCACAGGGTCTGTTGTTCATCAGTAGCAACAGATGAAGAACTAAAAGAAGGAAATTGGGTTGTTGAAATTAAAGTAGCTAGAAGGAAAACAAGGAATGCCTGGCAGTTTGAAGGGTCTGTGAGCATTGTTCAAGACCAGTTTGGTCTAGTGCTTAAGGCACCAGGCTAAAAACTGGAGACTGTGAGTTCTAGTCCCACCTTGAAAGCCGGCTGGGTGACGTTGGGCCAGTCACGCTCTCTCAGCTCAACTCACCTCACAGGGTTGTTGTTGGGAAAATAGGAGGAAAGAGTATTAGTTATGTTCACTGCCTTGAATTATTTATAAAAATAATAAAGGCAGGATAAAAAATCTTTTTAAAGAAGTCCTTGGCTGGGAATGGATTGTGTGGGCATGTCTAGTTCACCTTGGTTGATACACCACAGGATTGTAGTAAGGAAGAAAAAGGTCCTGTGGGTGTAAAATCTACTCACTACTGCACAGTATAAGGCTGTTTAATGTTAATTTTAAAAGTCAAACAATATGTCTCAAATATTATAAGAAAACCTCCCAAGAACCCTCTAGAAAATGCTGCTTACAACATTTCATTATAATCCTACTCACTGAAGGGCCTTGGCTCCTGAAGAACCATATGGCTCTAAGTACATTTAAAAGTTGCCCACTCCTGTTTTAATCACTCAGAAAATAAGATGGCAAAAAGGCAACTAACTAGAATTTGCAAATGGAGCTTATGGGTAGATAATGACGCTGGGAAGTAATGTTAGTGTTGCCTCTATAAGCATGACTCTCTGTTGGGAGAAAGTTACTTATGAATATGTGAAAATAACATTTTTGCCTTATACAGTAAAATGGGGGGGAAATGCTTATGGAGTATGGCTGATTGTCTGCTTCAGACACGCCTGTGCTTGCAGTGATCAGTTTCATGCAGTAATGGCCATATTGTGGGAGGGGCGGCTATCTGCTTAGCATTTCAGTCATTCTTGGATGTTGTATTTTCTATGTATAATTGTATTAAATTATTTGAGTTCAGAGTCAAAAATATCAAAATATTTAAAAAGCTATATTGAAGGATACCAGTTTAATTAATGTTGATAAAATAAAGGAAAAATGAATGCTTGGGCAGGATTCTTATTAGTGAAGAAGATGCAAAACTTATACATCATTTTACATTTGAAAGAGGATGCAAAAGTGAGCTTACACATAAATGTACTGCAGTAATAATCAAGCCAGGAAAGCTGATCAGATCTTTAAATGTGTGTCCATGCACTGAAGTCTGTAATTCTTGGGAAACTGTTAAGAGGATACATATGTCTAAAATTTCAGCTAACAGCAACAGTAATGCTGCTTTTCCTATAAAAAAAACCTATTTTTTCCCCCCTTAAGACACAAGCTGTCTTGAAAGTTGAATTGATATTCGTAGAAACCTTAGTTTTTAATATAATGGAAACGTGCCTTTGTAAGATTGCTTGAACTGTAAAATTTCACTTCTGATATGAAGTTCTTTCCTATAATAGCTTCTTTTTCTGCAAATTCTGGAGTTTAAAGCAGATAAATTACTTCCGTAATATGCAGTGAGGATGTGAAGAAAGGAGCTGGTTGTAGTGGAGAAAAATAGACTCCTTAGCCTTGATTTATGTAAATTTTCTATACAGAAATTATTTGGAGAACCAACTGGAAAGGCACTACGGAATTACTTCTCCCATTAGTTTGGCACCACCAAGGGAAATAGATTATATCTATACGCAGAAATTGATTGAAGCCCTGAAGCCTTTTGGTGTATTTGAAGAGGAGGAAGAGCTGAACTGCAGGTAAGAGGGAGTGCATGTAATACTGCTGACCCTAAGTAACCATCTTCTAATTACCAAAGTCATAATAGTGAGGTTGGGTTGGTGGAATTACAATAGGATGAACACCTTGACACCAATTTTTAGCAGCACTTTTTAAAAGTTTATGTTAAATATTTCCTCTCTGCAGGTTAGCTGTTCTCAGTAAACTAAATAACTTGGTTAAAGAGTGGGTTGCAGAAGTTGCTGAAAATAAGGTAAGAGGCTTGTCAAAGCTTGACTCCCCCAGACTGTTTACTTACCTTGTTTAAGCTGTTAGGAGTAAAAGAGATTTATCTGTTCTTTGAGAGATGTTTGCTGTCAGGATGTAGGTATCCTACCATATATCAGAAGACTAAATGTTCCCTCCATGGAGCTCTTCGTCTTCCACTTTCCCTTTCTTCCTGCCAGCCCTGTTTTGAAGACACTTGGGATCATCTTCGAAGCCACAAGACTTGCAGTAAATGATACTTGATTGCCTTGGAAAGCTCATGACTTATCATTGCTGTTAAATCATTGACAGAGTCAAACCCTGACAAAAGCTCTCTTTGCAGGATTTCCTTTCCAGGGTGGAGGGAGGCAAAGGCCGAAGACAAGATGTCACCTTACTTGAGTATTTTACTTAGCTAGTGTTTGCTCAAAGGTTGATGGATAAGCTACAATTGACTTGGCTCACATAATGCATAAATTATGGCTTGCAAACCACAGTGGCTGAAATTATAAAACATGTTAATACTGGACAAACTACATTGGCTTAGCATAATGCCAGGACATGCCAGTCTGTTGTATATTTTCTGTTAATGCACTCAGAGTGGTTCATAGCAGCTAATAAAATGGCTTACAGTTCAGTAGATAGGTTATAAGTGGGAAAAGGAAGGGAAAAAGGAAGTTAAAAATACTACACTTGTTGCATAAAGAAGTTTTGGGAAGAGCAAACAACTTTAGCCAAGACATTGCCATCTTGCCACTCTGCAAAACAAGTTGGGAATAATGGCCACAACTGAAATACTTCTGGATAGGAGGGTTGGGTGTTGATGGGAATGTTAACTATTAAAAAATCTGAGGATAGTAAAACCTCTGCTGTACTTCCACATGTGCACATGTCAAATATAATTGTACACATCCTTGGAAAAGCTTACTAACTTGGTTTTCAAAGTAAAACTATCTCCTACTTTATTGTAGAATCTGCCATCTTCAGTCTCATCCAGAGCTGGTGGCAAAATATTCACATTTGGTTCCTATCGGCTTGGAGTCCAGACCAAAGGTAAAATCCACCAGATACGTTAGACTACAGTTAGCTTATCCATGCTGGCTGCAAATTAGGCAATCAGATTGGAAAAGGCTGTTATAAACAGTCTTGAACTGTGAAAATGTTCATCTTGAGCAACTAATTGCTATGGCTGTTTTCTGGTAGGTGCTGACATAGACACGCTTTGTGTAGCCCCTAGACATGTAGAAAGATCAGACTTCTTCCAGTCATTTTTTGAAAAGTTAAAACTCCAAGATGGCATCAGAAATCTCAGAGTAAGTTGCTTTGTCTTGCTTTAACCATCTCATGTGTGCATATCATTCACTTGACGGTTAGGCAGCTCTGTGTGAAAGCTGTTTATTGACAAGCCTTGTGAGGTTCAGAAAAGCTATATTATACAAAATGTATAAACATGTTTTATTTTGTGTTAATTGGAGTTTAGATTCATTCAGGTTTATGCTTTAAATCAGTGTTTTTCAAACTTGGCAACTTTAAGATGTGTGGACTTCAACTCCCAGAATTGAAGTAGCTTTAAATCAGTGTTTTTCAAACTTGGCAACTTTAAGATGTGTGGACTTCAACTCCCAGAATTGAAGTATGCTGGCTGGGGAATTCTGGGAGTTGAAGTCCACACATCTTAAAGTTGCCAAGTTTGAAAAACACTGATTTAAAGCAAAAACTGAACTGGAAAATACATGACAGCCTTTCTATAAAACTGCACTTCAATTCTGGGAGTTGAAGTCCACACATCTTAAAGTTGCCAAGTTTGAAAAAAACTGCTCTGAATCTTTCCCCACTTCCTCAGGAGAGAGCTGTACTGGGTCTTGTAGGGATGTGTAACAAGGTACTCTCCAAAAAATGAAGAGGGCAAAGGCAGACACTAAATTTAAAATAAGTAGTTAGCATGCTTATTTCCCATTTGTTTATTCATTTTCTTTCTGTTGCATCAAAAATTACAATTTTGAAGAACATTTAGGGGTGCACCCAGGGATCTGCCACAACACAAAAGCTTTATTCCCCATTCTTGTTTCCTTAGCTTGGAGAAGATCCCAGGTACAGAAGTATTGATAGCCTGGGTAAGAGAAGGAAGAAATATTCCTATAGCTAAGCAGTTTTATAGAAAGGCTGTCATGTATTTTCCAGTTCAGTTTTTTTTTTTTGAAGATCCAGGCATAGTGGGCCATCCTAGGGCAGATGTTAATTGATATAGGCAGCTTCTTATATCTTTGCTGGGATACAGGACCTATGATTATTAGAATCTCTTGTAACCTGAACCCTAACTTGTTTGGGGTCCTGGTATTACTTACATTTTGTTTTAATAAGAAGAAACTTACTGTTGTAAAAGTATGAGGTAAATACTGCTTTTTATGAAAGTATGTAAAGGTTATTATGTCTTTGGTGAAGCTAAGATCTGCACCTTCTGTTTCTCTTTAGGAAAAGTCGCATCCATGATCATGTTGCATATCTGCATTCTGGAAGTGAAATAATTCAAAATTGCTTCAAATAAATGCTTTTCACTTCTTCCTACAGGCAGTAGAAGATGCATATGTACCAGTAATCAAGTTTGAATTTGATAGTATTGAGGTAAATATATTCTTCTTTGTCTTTTTATGTACTGTAGACAGCTTCTACTTGAAATTGGAATTTGATGATACAAAAGTAAATTTATCAGTTCTTCTTTTCCTTTCTGTGTGGAGAGCTTGTTCTTAAGGTGGTTTTTGGATAAGTGGAGGGATACCTATATAGATTCTCTCCATGTGTGGCTAAAGAGATGTAGTACGCAATTGGCTCTGATTAGGAATCATTTGGCACTTGACTCAGGCAGTGATGTAAAAGAATTTTGTCAGATTCCAGTGGGAGCAAATTTGGGCTAGGTCCCCACTGATCTTCACAGTGGCATGAATGCCAGCATCAAATGAGGTCCAGCTAACATTTACCTTTCCTGATCAGTAATCAACAAGAAAGGGTTAGGGTTAGAAAAGAAGGTATACTAATAAAAGTTCCATGCAAACGTAGAAAAATAGTTCACATTGGAAATTGGCCATAAAACTTTTCTTTATCAAAATACAAAAGTAAGGTGATTTGTATTTATTAAAAATATACTTGGTACCCTAACAGATATGTAAATTAAAGGAAGATATATGCAAGGCTGTCATATGTTAGCACACTGAGAAGCAAACTTTTAAACACTAGCCTGTGCCTTACTAATGCAAATACTGAAATAGATATTTACTAATTCACATAACCTTGGGCTCAGGTGATAAATCTTGAGGGTGTGTGAAATATAGAAGTCCTGCAAAACTCAGGTCTGACTGCACCAAGTATAATGAGGGTACAGTATTCCATTGTGGTGGCTATTGTGCATGACGTTATGCAGCCTTTTTCCTACAGCACCAGAAGCAGTGCATATGAATTGCAAGAGTGATGCAGTACTACACGGGCTGTGCATGTGGAATTTTGTGAAGATGTTTTTTCTACCTTCTGAGCAGAATACGTAGTTCAAGCCAGCAAGCCTGCTACTTGGTAGCAAATTGTTAAGAGTTACTGTTAATTGAGATACTATTTTCATTTCTTACATTTTAGATTGATCTCGTGTTTGCAAGATTACCACTGCCAAGCATTTCAGATAGTCTGGACCTTAGAGATGATGCACGTCTGAGAAGCCTTGATATCAGATGTATTCGGAGTTTAAATGGTAATCTCAAAGCTTTCCCCAGTCTGGCATCTTCATGCAGGTTTACAGCCCAACTAGAAGATTCAGGCTAAGAGTATCTGCCTTGCTTTCTCAAAACCTGAGAAACAATTGCTGGACAGTGATGTTCAAATGACCTGTGTGCTTTTGAGTGTCTCTTGTGTTAATGCTTAAAGCTTATAGTTTCATGGTTGCATGAATGTTTGACTTCTGAAACGCAGCTTGCTTAAAACATGATAGAACTCTGATGTACAGGTGTAAATAACATGTAACATTTTTCAGCATTCAAAAAGAAATGCTTTAGTTCTTGCAACAACCCTATTGGATAAGTCAAGATGATGGTAGTATCAATAATGTGATATGACCAGATTAACACAAAGGCAAATTCTACTAGATGGTCCTACCTTACCAATATTGAGAAAAAATAGACATTGGTTTTTAATATAATTTCTGTTCTTAAAAGAATTTGGCCATCAGTTGATAGAAATGTTGTAAATGTTATCTATAAATCCTTTAATGATTGATATGCTGCCTAAGTAATTTGTTTGAAGAGTTTATATCCCTCTCCCAATCAGAAAGAAAGAAAAATTTAAGCTACAGTATCTTAAAATTATATGATTGTTATAGCAACTATATTTAAGGAACAAGTATTTAGAATAATCCTTGGACATGGAAAAATTATGGTAAAATGCTCTGAGTAAATGAAAAGATTTCATCTTTTTCAAAATTAGTTTTTCTATATATGGGGTAAAATTTAATATTACTCTTTCAAATTGACAGTTTTAGCTATTTTTTTCAGGATGACTTAAGCAAAACAAAGACCTTATGTACCAACACTTTCCAACCTGGAAACTTCCAGATATAGTAAACTACAGGTCAGGTCCTAGAATTCCCAGCCATTGTGGTGTATTACATCACAGATGGGGAGCAGGGGGCTGAGGAATGCTGCTGTAGACCATTGCTTGCCATTATTGGTGTTTTGCCCTGTTTAACTTGAAACTTTATTGTTTGTCGGCAGGCTGCAGAGTCACTGATGAAATACTTCATTTGGTACCAAACAAGGAGAACTTCAGGCTGACACTCAGAGCAATTAAACTGTGGGCTAAACGTAAGTACTTAATACATCAAATTTTGCACTATCAGCTGCAGGGCTTAATAGTCCTTGAAATGACTCTTTAGGCTAAGCCAAGTGAGCTTGTCATATATGAATGTTTCCTGCAAAACTTCGTAATGGCAGTTGGACCATAAATTCGGTGGATCCTGAAACAAATTTACATGTGTCTAATGTTTGCAAAGAAGCACCTGGGTATCTGTTTGCCATTCCTGTTGAATGCTCAAAACCTACTTTAAGCCACGTCAAGCAGTTAAGCGTTGGTATTTGAGCATGGATTTCTACCCAGATTGTATAAGAGTCCAGTCCTATGTAAGAAGAAGAACAGAAAAATTGCAGTTGCCCAGTTACAGCAGTTACCTCAAAGCCTCTCCTGGGCGTCGCACGTAGCGCTGAGGTTTCTGTGAGAGTCAAGAAGTTAGTTTCTTCTGTAATGCAACTAAGAAAATCTGGTGAGTCATTCTCATTGAGGATAGGATTTGCACTCACTCCATTATAAAAATTATCACTGTGCAAATTATATCCTGTACTCCCTATTTCATATTGCAGAAAAAGTTCTGTCCAAATGTTGGAGTCACAATGCCTCTCTCATTCTCATTGGTTATGAAGATGCATTATTAGAACATACATATAATAGTAGACATAACTAGTCTTAACTTAGCATTTTCTGAGGTTATCCTTACTTACAGGAGAAAAAAAATAACTGATTTGCTTCTGGACATTGATATTTTCCACTGAGAATGAAATAGTTCATTTTTTTATCAGAGAAACTTTAAACATAATGTCAGCATTCCAAGGGATTAAAACATATGACTTTTTAAACCAATATCCATGTTTCCATTCTTTCCACATTCTAGAAGAGGCCCTCTACAGCTTAAGCATTCTGCTGCCTACCAAACATTTTAGGAAGAGGTTTTCTACCTCATCTTAAATGTATGCTTGTCTTAGATGTATCCTTCTGATTATATCACTTAGAGCCTAAATGTGTACTGCTTTCCTATATATATCATTCCTATTTAGTTGTAATCAACTACTTATAAAAAACAAGGAAACTAATTTTTAAAATTGTTTGTTCTCTCCTTTTCAAATGTTCAATAAAACATATCTTAAAAATTCACAATATCCCAATTGAGCAGATTACCAATTGTAAACAGTTAACTAAATTTGTGGGAGATGGGCTTGGGAGCATTTAATAGAAACTAAACCTAAATTAACGTCCATGAACCGAGCTATGTACCTGTGAACATCATCTGCAGGGTCATATTCTAGGAAAGCTTGAGCACTCACTGGCATCCAGGTAATTGTTTTGGAAATGGAAGATTGATATTGATGGCTCTGGGCCTGATCTGATATTCTGGTAGTTTAATATGCTACTTTGGTAGACAGGAGATACAGGACAGAACTTTGTTCCAAAAGGATACCATTTTGCAGTCTTTCTCTTTGATGTACTAACAGTTCCTCCCTCAAAGTTGCTATAATCTTTTATCTATTTTATAATGACACTTTGAGTAACTTAGACTTGAAACTATGTTTTTGGTCCCCAAGGCCAACTGTTATCTATTGCAAGAGAAAAGTTTATACCATGATAAAACTATTGGTCTTCAGTAGTCTGAAGACTGTTCTTTCCTGTATAATTGTAGGCTGAATCATTTTGCCTTAGTAAGTGTAGGAAAAAGTTCAGGTACATGAATTGCTTGACATTTATATAGATAGCCCCCTATTTTTCATTCCCATTTTATGTATATTCTCTAGCCTTTGGTGAAACAAGGCTTTGAAATAATCACCTGTGAATTGCTGGATAACAAATGCATTCTTCAGCCACCCAGAGTTTTTATAGCACACAGTTCTGGTCAGACTTCACACTGCTGCATGTTTAGTGACATGGGGGCTCCTATGATGCTAGCAGGGCTGAAGTCCAGGGACCCAAATGAAAGGGGGAGAGAGAGGATACCCTGGCAGCAAGCTTTGAATTGGTGGAAGGGTGCTAAGACTGATAGTAATTCCTGTGACATCCTTCCTATTACTAAAAACATTTTATTGCCACAGCTTGGCTGGATGTGAGTGCTAATTTTTTATTTTATTTTTTTTAAATGCCTTATCCTTTAAAAAGCCATGTATTGTCAGGCCCAGCCCAAGAACCGCAGTAAAAAAAGTCCAGTTGAGTTAAGTTCCTTTATTTGCTTACACCATATAGACAGACTAAATCTATACTCCTGCAACAAATGGGTGTGCCCTGGGAGATTCTAGGGAGTGGCTATCCTGAACCATTTTTGCTTCCCACGCTCCCCTTGCGGACTGTGTTGTCTTTTTTCTCCTTTCCCTTCCTGGAATGCACCCCCTCCTTCCTGATAGCCTTGCTCTCTGTTGCTGTCCACCACACGTATTGCTAAACAAATTAGTGTTTATTATTGAGTTAATCATGTATTTGACAACTGAAGTAAAGAAGTTTTTGGAAGGACATTAAACTGTCTACTTGCCCCACTTCTTCAGAACTATCCACAACCTGTTGTAAGATATGTGTATAGTTTGGGTAGGTAACCTAATGTCTGTAAGCTTGAATTACAACCCAACAGGTCATCCCTGACTATTAAGCCTAGTGGGCTGTGGACAATAAGCCCGTGGGTTGAATCTGTTTTCCTAAGCTGGATTGTCCAAATGAACTTTGCCGCTGCTCATCTGCTCTCCTTGAAGGGAAGCCAGGCAAATCAGAAGTGCGGAGCTGTCTGCGTGTCTGCTTCAGACTTGCAGGCAGTGAGAGAGGTGTGTTTTAAATTCAACCCTTTCCATGCTTGCCTGGCTTGTAGCACACTAATAGGTAAGGAAATGGCCACAAGGTGGAACACTTTCAAAAGGAAAGCAATTGCTGGAATCAAAGTCTCAATGAAATATGTGGTAAATTGTTGCCGGGGAACTCAAAACTGGTAGTTAATGCAATCCTTGGGCTGGTGTGTGAGCTTCTGCTTCTGCTTCATAATTTTTTGTTTGTGCTTTGGCTTTCCTGAGTGTTGAGCCATGTTAGGTGCAAGAGATCTACCATTAAATTTCCTAGTAGTCTGAGTTAGTGAAAAGGAGGTTGAGAGTGGAGGGTGAAATCCTTCTGAAGATGTTACCTAGCCGGGTAATGAAACGTCTGCAAGAAAACAACCAAGCTCAGAGAATCCCAAGGACTCCACAGTTCAACCCTGAGCTACACATATTCTCTTCTATTGAAATGCTTCTGTCTTAACTGTGGAAGTATTGCTGGGGATCATTTTTTTCCACTCCTTTGCATTGTGCTCCTGCTTTAAATTTCTTTCCTGTACCCAAAATGCTATTTGTTCCACTGAGTAAAATATTCAGTGGTGGTAAACAAAAGTAGTGGAAAATTCATTCATCTATTTCTTCCATCTCTTTTAACCTTCTTGCTTTAGAGAAGAAAATAAACTAACTTGAATCAGACTGAAGCAGTGATGAGTTTTGGGCTGAAAGGCCATGGTCGAGTTTTCTTTTGTCCTGACATTTCACCAGCAGCTGTCTGAAATCAGACTGTTTGAAATATTGAGTAAATAAATAGAGTCACATCTGGGTGCCAAATGTCTGTCTTTAGGGCGTGGAATTTATTCCAACATGCTGGGATTCCTTGGTGGTGTTTCTTGGGCCATGCTGGTGGCAAGGACCTGTCAGTTGTATCCAAATGCTTTGGCATCAACCCTTGTTCACAGATTCTTCTTAATTTTTTCGAAGTGGTAAGTTGATAACTTATGGGTCTCTACTATGTAAGCAATGCAGGTTGTATTGTAGGCCAACAAAAATTACACTAAGCTATGATTGGCAAGTCAAGTGGCTGTGAAATTATGTCTCTCCCTGATATTCATTCTAAAAAGTTAAAGGTTTGTTGTGCAAAGGAATCTGCCTTCTGCTATCCAAACTGGTTCACTAAAGATATTTGCCTGGCCTAGAATTCCTTCTGAGGAATTCACTTCAAAATTAGTTTACATACTTAGATTCTGGATGGTAGATTGTCTCAGGTAGGCAACCATTATTGATAAAGTAAGCATGCTCCTTAAAGAATTCAGGAAGAATATCCCTTTTCAATACCACTCCAGTTAGCTTTCTCTTTGTTCTAATAGAACAAAGATGCTCAGGAAAAGCCAATGTCAGAGCCCTTCCAGGAATTGCCTGAAACAGAATTCTTAGGATGACAGAAGGGGAAAATGCTTAAAGGTTGCAATGTGTTAGCTGCATTTAGTTTAAATTAAATTTAAATACAAGACAAATTAAATTATTTTGTCTCCACCTTCTTTTTGGAGTACAGCCCTGGTATTGCTTAAAGGCCAGTGTGGGCCTCAGCCTCATAGATGTATAATGTCAATTATCCTTTGATAATTACAAGATCCTCCCTTGTAATTGAGGCTATATTTGGCTGTTCTAACCCTTATTTCTCCATAGGTGACCTTGGGCTTATTCACTCTTTGAATTTTTCCCCTCCCTTTGCATTAATCATCACAAGAATTGCTTTGAGGATTACAGAATCTGGTTACATGCCAGAAAATAATCTCTCTTGCATTAAGTATCCGTTTGCAAAACGGATACTTTATACCAAAAATTGGTATAAAATATGTTTTCCCAACCTGGCGACCTTTAGACATTACTGACTGCATCCACTTCTGGCTAGCGTGGCAGTGTTGATAGGAAGTTATGGTTGCTGTAGTCTAATACACCTGGAGGGCAGAAAATTGGGGAAGGCAGATATATCTCATGTTTCCACTGTTTATGATATACAGCTCTTACATGTAATTCTTCACGTTTTGTCAGATTTCCCCTATATACAATATTAGCATTGTGTGCAGATTAATATAATGGAGCAAATTCTGAGGCCATATACAGTGTACGTGTTGGAAAAGAATGAATAAGTTGCCTTCTCTCCAGAATTATCACTTAATAATAATGTGGGTTGCCTTCTCTCCAGAATTATCACTTATCTCTCTTATTTGCAGGGAATGGCCCAATCCTGTCTTGCTGAAACAACCTGAAGAGAGCAATCTCAACTTGCCTGTCTGGGACCCCAGGGTTTGTAAAGTACACAACTTTGAAATGATAACATTGGCAACTCTTGATGGAAGGCTTTTCAGTACCCAAGAGTACTTCAGTAGCCATTCCTCTTCCAAACAGATTATCTGTTCTGTGAGGGTCTTTGAGTTCCATGGGGCAACATGGGAGGAGAGGAAGTGTTCACAGAGGAGAACAGCTAACATTGGGAGCAAAGTCTGCCTCTGATGCTGAACATCCCTGTCTCATTTCAAGAGGAAATATATGCAGGGCATTGTGACATTGTGATATAGTGTGCCTTGTAATCAGTTTTGTGGTTATGCTACTACCTTGATTCATACTTTATTCTGGGCTATTTTATAATTGCTTTGGATTTATTGGCTGAATTGGATTCTCTGTTCTGAATGGGGAAAGGATCTTCCCTGATAAATGAAAGTGCTTTCTCTGCATTTTCTATTGAATACCAAACTTTAGTTAGCAGCTATAGAGCACTTTCTGGACATGCACAAAACAGGTTGCCTGGATTATCTTTGGTATAATGATGACAATCATTTTAAGGCAGGTTGGTATTATATTCCCCTGTTTCAAATGGAGGCGAAAGCTTAAATTTGTATTTGGTTTTCTAAAGGCCAGCTGGTGAGTTGGTAGTTGGTGGGATTTCTGGTTCATATTCTGAAACATAGTTCTTTATGGAATCACCCATTCATCTGTGACAGGTAAATCCAGCTGACCGGTATCATCTGATGCCCATCATCACTCCAGCCTACCCACAGCAGAACTCCACGTATAATGTGTCCACATCAACCCGAGCAGTCATGGTAGAAGAGTTCAAATACGGTAAGCCATCTTGATCTCTCCATTGCCTCTCTTATATTTCACATAGCAGGGCAAGAAGAGTTTATTATTTGCTGGATAATCTCCTGTTTGAAGAGTTTTACTTTTTCCTCTTCTGACTGGATACAAAGAAGTGCTCTGGATCACTTTTGTTCAGTCATAGTCTTTTAGGAATGCATTTTCATTGATCAATATTATTTTCTCCAAGGTGGGCCTATAGTGATAGGTTTCATTTTTATCTATTTATTACAATACCACTTCAGTCAAAATCAATCTAAGTCACTTACAAAAGCAATAAACCACAAATAGCCATAGAAGAATGCATAAAACTATCATAAAAAATATAAATATTAATGGATAAAGCGATTTCTGTATTAGTATCTGTCTGTTGCAGACATTTCTTAAAAGGACAAGGGAGAGGGGTGGGCAAAAGTAGCTTCCCAACATTCTTCCCTGTTTCACCTCAGCAAAATTTAGGGAAATAGTTCCTCTGGGGAAGAGGAACAATTTCTCCCTTAGCGCTTCAGGGTTGAAGCAATTTATTAGTGATGGTAGGAAGGCTGACTTCTTTCTCCCTTTCCCTCCAGGTGCATCTTTACTGATGCAAGAAACAACAGCAGTATTCGTGTCATTGTTACTATTTTTGCTCAGTCCTACACCTATCCTTATTCTACAGCATTTTAAAGGAAAACGCTGGCTGTCATAAAAATGACAGAGCAGAATCGCTCATTGGACTGGAGAGAATGGGGAGAAAAATATTCACAGAGAAGTCTCTCTTTTAGTCAGCTCTTGTTTCAAGGAACAGGCAACAAGAGATTGTAGAAATGTGGGGGGGTGGCCTTCATCTGTATGCTGTGGAAGGGCAGAGCTAAAGGTCACATTGGACTGTTGCTCCCCTCCTCTCTTTTCATATTCATTCTCTTATTTCTGATAACATCCATTTATCAAATTGCATTATGTGATTCAACTGTATGTTTATTACCTCTGGCCCTCACTAGTGACTATCCAAGATGGGATGCAAAGTGTTGCCATGCAGTATGGGATAGGATGCCAGTCCTAAAAATAGGAAGAGTTGAGGTGGTAGAGCTGCACCATTTATGATTCATCCCAATGGGGAGATTACTAGAACGGGAGCAGCCAGAAGAAACAATTGGATAGTGGATGTTGAGGGAAGTTCTTGATGAGTTCTGATATGGGTCGAACTATTATTCTTTGTCTCAGTGGCCTTTGGCCTTTTCTGGACTGACACTTCTGGATTTATAACCGTTTATTATAAAGCCCTTACTATAGGTGTGTTATGTTTAAACAGGTCTCGTGGTTACAGATGAAATTCTTCAAGGAAAATCGGACTGGCCAAAGCTGCTTGAGCCACCCAACTTTTTCCAAAAGTATAAGTATGTGAGATCACCTAGAGTTTCAGAGTTCACATCCCAACAACTCAGTATCCTGTATTTTAGCTAGCAAGGCATCCTAAGCATCTTATGGATGTAAACATATAATAAAATAATAACAATGGAAATACAGCAGATTAAAAAAAATCCAAGATTAATTTGAATGTGTTAGATCAAAGAAATCTAGATGCAATAAAAGCATTTGCCTGGTGATAAGTGGGCGGGGGGAAAGATTCAACTTTGTTAGGAAATATATATTTGCAATAGTAACTCCATGTAATATTTAATCTGTTATTTTTGAAATATATTATCCTCTAGTCAGCCCATGAAATGGTATAAATGTTACCAAAGTTAAAGGATATAATCTGCACCCAAACAATTTATCCAGTCTTGGCAACGGAGCTGCAAACAGCTGCAACCAAGGCCAGTCTTGTCATTACACAAAGTAAGGCACCTGCCTCGCAAATGTTGGAGGGTTGTAGCAGCAGCATGTTGGCTAATAGACCAGGCTGCTCTCTTCAAATGTAGGGCAGAATATTATCCTACTAATACGAATACTACTGTGGTCTAATAGTAAAATAGACTGCTAATACATGGTAAACAAGAAGGAATGTATTGATTTGCTGTTGGAAAGTGTGTAGATTTTTTTTTTTTTATTGTGGAGATTTATGTTATCTTCTTATGGAAAGGGGGATGAAATCAACAAAACCTGTTCAGCACTCACTGGAATTCTAGAGATAGAACAAGATGCCTTATTTATTTAATCCCTCTTGTAAAAAAAGGTGACATTTCGATAACTGACTCCCACATTTTGCGCAGCTCTAAAAATTATGACACTTTGAATTTTTTTGCAAATAATGTTTAGAACAGCTGAAGTCAGATTAGCTGTTCCAAAAATGGTTGTGAAATGTACATCCAGTTTTAGTTACCAATATTATATATTGCTAAAAGAGGAATTGGTTGATCCTTCAACTGTTCCTATGCTGTATTTCCTGTAATAGGAATCATGAATTTGTGTTAGGCATTAATCTCTACGTCAATCAACTATTCTTTGTTCCAGTTTCCATTTTTAATAAACTGGCTTGCTTAAAACAAGCTCATCTACCACTCTTGAATGGTGTAGAAGCCTCCTCAGCCTTATGCGTTGAATCTTCCAAAGTAGGCAACAGGGCCTGAGAAGAGATGTAAAGATGTGGAAGAAGCACATCAATACACTTCAAGATTAGGGAAGATTTTAGAGGAGACTGTGTTATAAATAAGGTTAAGAGGAATTGAAATTGAAAGTTGAGTTGTAGAGGGACATTTTTAAAACTAAAACTGTTAAAAATTTATCAAATTTTAGCTCTCTACATTTCCAGGCATTATATTGTATTGACTGCTATTTCTTCAACTGAAGAACATCATTTGGAATGGTAAGCCTATTTTTTAAATGCTGATAATAATCCTGATGTTAGCTTTTCATTTTAAAATGAAAGC